TGGATGGGTGGATGGATGGATGAGTGGATGGATGGATGGATGGATGGACGGATGGATGGATGGACGGATGGATGGGTGGATGGATGGATGGGTGGATGGATGGATGGATGGACGGGTGGATGGATGGACGAGTGGATGGATGGATGGGTGGATGGGTGGATGGATGGATGGGTGGGTGGATGGATGGGTGGGTGGATGGATGGACGAGTGGATGGATGGACGAGTGGACGGATGGATGGATGGGTGGATGGATGGATGGGTGGGTGGGTGGATGGATGGATGGATGGATGGATGTGTGCATGGATAAATAGACGGATGGGTGGAGGGATGGATGGGTGGGTGGGTGGATGCATGGATGAGTGACTGGATGGATGGATGGATGAACACATCAATGAGGAAGTGCTATCTAGTCTCCATTATTAAGTACCTACTGTGTGTCAAGTGCAGTGCAAAGGGCTTTGCCAGCTGTGACCCTAATGGAGATCTCCTCTTAACCATCTGGAGACTTACAAGGCAAACACAATGGGAGTAAAGTGGGCTGACGGGGAAAAGGCTTCAGAGTCTCTTTGGAACGTGGTCCTTCTTGTGGCCTTCCTACGATCAGACACCTTCTCCCATAAGCACTGAAAACGCTTATGTTCATAACAGCCCCTCCCATAACAGCCCCTGGGGTGGATGGGGTGGGTGAAGGTGAGCACTCCCTGATTAGGTGAGAAAAGATCTTTCTCTAACTTGGCATTTTTATTGTAGGGCATCAGCCACTGGCAGGACCCACACGGGGTGCCAGGGATGAAAGGCTACTGCTCGTGACAGCAGATGGTTAGAGGGGACCATGTGCTGGGTACTGGTCTCAGCCTGGCACTCTTGCGTTGCCCACCACGAGGCAGGTCCTGTCACCACTCCCATCTTATGGGTGCTGACACTGAGGCCCAGAGAGCAGAAGAAACCAGCTGGCTAGAAAGTGCTGGGTGAGCTTGGATGACCTGGAGTCTTGGGCAGTGCCTGGACATTTCACCCTTGCATGGCACCCAGGAACCCGCAGCAGGGGCGACGGCAGGAATTCTAGGGCCTGCCCTGGGGGCTGTTGATCGGGACGGCCTTCTGTCCTGCCTCTTTGGTAATGCCTCCACTGTTCATTACAGGATGTGGGCTGTTAGCATGATGGGGTGGCACTGGGAGGGAATGGAGAAGATGAGTCAACCACGGAGGGGGCACCCATCCATAAGATTCTCAGGGGGCATTCTCCCCTGCACGCCAGCCCCCTTGGTGGGCTCCTTCTAGGTGCCTGGAGCAGCATTCATCTCTCTCCTGGGCCTGGAGGAGACAACGTTTCCAGGAACAGACACTTCACCACACCCCCCTCAACCTGCCAAGAGACCCTCACTAGCCCCGTTCTTCAGATGAGGAAACTGAGGCCCAGAGAGGGGAAATCATGTGTCCCCAGCCGGCTGCTGGAAGGGACAGAGCTGAGATTCCAACCCAGTGGCCTTGTCTACATCCCACGCCACCGGCACTGGGGATGGGGGCGGCGCTGCACGGCGCTCCTCGGGCCCTTACCTTTTCCGGGTGGAAGAGGATGTTTCCCAGGCTCTGCAGGCTCAACACGCGGACCTCGGGGCTGGGGTCCCTGAGGCTTCGGGCCAGCACCATCAGGGCGGCCTGCTGGGGGAGCACCTCCAGCAGGGCGGGGCTGTAGAGGAACTGGGGCGGCCCCGAGAGCAGGTGGGTCAGGCCTGGCCCCCTCTCGTAGGGAGCCTGCGTCTGCGTCTGGGAGCGGGGCTGTAGGGCCAGGGTCTGGTGGGGGATTCAGGAAGGGTGGTTGACCAGCACCCTCCAGGTATCTTGGTTACCCAGTATTTGAAACGCACCTCCAAGCTAGTTCTATCCTTCAACGTACAGCTGGGGAAACTGAGGCCCAGAGGGGGAAAGGGCCTTGCCTGAGGTAACACAGCAAGGCTGGGGCCAACATACATAAACAGCCTGGCTCATGGGACACGGTGGACCTCCCCACAGTGCAGGAAGGCCCAGACGATCCTGCTGGTAGGGTGGGGAGCGGCCCCAGGCTTTGATTTAAATTTCCCTCTACTGGTATCTGTTATGGAAATGACACACAGCCCCCACGCCCTGCCCTGCCGCTGTCCCGAGCTCACAGTTGCAAAGCTGTCCACACCCCAGCATCCACCTGGTTCTGACCAATGCCCTCTCAGCTCACAGTCCCAGGGGAGGGAGGACAGGCTTCAATTCGAGCCCATGTCTGCCTGACCTGTGCCTGGTACCCCCTCAACTCTGCAGGGGTTGGGCCAGGGAGGGACGGGTGGATACAGGTCCTTCCAGGCCACAGGCTGAGGGGGAACTGAGAAGCGGGGGCCCCAGCCAGGAGCCCCAGACTGTGGACCCCCGCGGAGCTGGAAGCGGAAGGAGGGGGTGTGAGGGGTCTGCTGGGCCGGCCTCCCCCCGGTCAGGGTGGGGTCCTGGCTGGGTCCTGATGGGGCACTGAAGCAGCTGGGGGAGGGGGTTCAGGCTGTCTCTGAGGGGCTCTTGGCCCCTGCCCAGGCTCCTACCTCCGTGAGGATGAGGATGGCCACCTTCCTCTCCCGCTCCTCCCTGCACTGCAGACTGGGCAGCAGCTGGCTGATCACCGCCTGGATCTGCTTACAGCAGTTCTGCACCATGGCCCTGGGGCGCGGGGGCAGGGCAGGCTCGGGCCCGGGCTCGTGGGCACCGCGTCCACCCTGCTGCTTCCACCCAACCCAGCCGGGGCCGGGCGGCCAGGGGGGTCACTGAGTGTGGGTGGGCACCCATCTCTTTCAGCGTGCTCCTGCTCCCTCTGCACCCGCCAGCCGCCCTCTGGTGCCAGGCCCAGGCCCGGTGTGGGGGAGACAGAGGAGCGGGCGTGGCCTTTGCCCCCTGGGAGCCTCAGGCAGGGGTGGAGGCTGGAGGAAGACGCCCGCATCCACAGGCTCCAGCGTGTGCACGTGTGACCAGGGGCAGGGGACACACGCCTTCCATGCCAGAGGGCCACGTGTGCACGCGCGTGGGTCCGTGAGGCGGTGCTCATAGGCAGGCCCTGGGGGTCACTGCTGTCCACACACACACCCAGCCTCCTGGACGGGCGATGGCCTGAGGCAGGCTCCCTCCCCTGCCCCAGCCCTGCCCCTACCTGGCGAGGAGGCCCACGCCCTGCGGGTAGGTGTGGAGGGTGGTGAAGAGCTCCCAGGCGCCCAGCAGCTCAAGGTGGGCGAAGTCCTGCCAGTGCCCCGTGGTGGACAGCAGGCTCTTCAGCGCCTCCAGCGACGTGCTGCGGTGGAGCAGAGGGGGTCACTGGGCCAGCCCTGCCCCGGGGAGGGTGCCCTGCCGCCCACAGGGAAAGGTGCGCTCTGGCTCCTGTCTTGGCTCAGAGCCTGACACCTTCTTGGGGGCCAGCTCATTCCCACCCTCATTTGGCAGAAATATTGGGGTGTAGGGCGGGCCGGGGCATGTGCTGGGCTCAGGGGGCCGCGCTCCAGGGTCAGGTGCTGGGGCGAGACCGGAGGGGCCTTCTCGGAGGGGGGACTGTTCTGGGGGCAGCTGGGAACGGGCTGGCGCACAGCCCTGTGAGGTGCCTCTGGAACATCTCAGAAGAGATGGCGATTGTGTCCGCAGCCGGCTTTCCAGGGCTGGAGAGAGCGCTCTGGAGACACCTGGGGACCTGTGGCCCCCGAGTCACAGGGTAGAAGAGGGTCCCGGCCGAGCCCTGAGGGACGGTGCCGTTTAAATGTGGGGCTGAGAATACGGAGGGGGCACGGTGGGGAGGGAGGAGGAGAGCTGAGGGGTGTGGCATCATGGAAGCCCAGAGAAGGGTCCGTTTGCAACTCCTGACGCTACTCTGCCCTCAGAGGACTCTGGGAAACCAGGTTCCGCCGCTGCAGGCCACGTGTAACGGAGAAAGGACGCCAGACATGAAGCATGGTGTGAGCACGCGCTGGTCAGCCACCCGCCTCCCCTGCACCGTCTCAGGTGACCCTCTACTGCCACCTCCTGACAGAGGAGGGAGCAGCCCAGAGAGGGGACGTGCCCTGTCCCGGTCACACGGCCTGGTCACACGGCCTGGCCAGGGGCAGCAGAAGTGGAGGCCAACCAGGCCCCCAGCTCCAAACCTGCACAGCGATGTTGCGGCCCCAGGCGCTGAGGCAGGACACAGGCAGGGGGCCTGGAACGCAGGCCACAGGAAGCAAGGCGGCCTGCCCGGGGCCTGGCTCCCCATGCGGCCACCCTGCGCCTGGTCACATCACCCTCTGTGAGTGAGCAAGCCCCCGGAACGAGGCTGCCGGCTCGGACCAGGCACGGTTCTGAGCAGGTCTGCAGAACCAAGTGTCAGAGGATGAAACGCACTCCGTGCAAGTCCCCGTGGCACCAACACAAATGCCAGCTGGCTTGTCATCTCGCCCCACACTGTGCTACTAAAACAAGGCCGCGTTTTCCAGGTCACTAGTTGCAGCCACAGAGTGACACGGTTTCAGGAGAAGAAGACTTTGGGGCAGAGCAGCATTTTGTCCCTTCTGTGACGATTCTCAGGAACTTCTGGTCCTGGGCCACCTTGGGCATCGTCTCTCATGACTGCCTTGTCCCTGCAGCCACACCAGCGCTGCCAGACAGAGGCGATCAGCTGATTCGGACGTTCTCAGGACTCCCTGTCCATGCCGGGGCGAATCACAACCCTGTGGAGCCCTGAAACATGAAGGCCCCCCAGCCAAGCACCCCGGCAATGCAGTCCCGAGGCCGACTGAAGACGGAGCCCTTCAGTCCGAGCCCGGCCGTGCAGGACGGTCCTCCCTCCTCCCTGTGGCCCGAGGTCGTGCCCTCCTGCAGCCTCACACCCGGCGGTGCCCAGGCAGTGGGAATGTGAGGATGAGACCACGGAGGAGGGGAGGACGTGGCGTGTGGAGAGTCGGCGGTGCCACCCGAGCTGGGGCCACCTGTGCATTGGCTCATGTAGCCCGCCCAATGCCCTGGGCATGGACCCCGGTTATCCCCGGTAAAGCGGCGAGGACGTGAGGTGCAGTCCTCTTCTCTTTGACTTGGAGTGGAAAGGCCCTCCCAGGAGTCCCCCCGCAGATGTGAGCTGCAGAAGGTGGGCGCTGCGTCTTCCTCGTCTCTATAGGTCGCCCACTCTGGCCACCTCTCTGCGGTGCCAACTGGATCCCGCCACGCCCTCTGCACAGAGCCTGCCATGGCTCCCCACTGCTCAGGGGGTGGAGGCTGACCTCGAGGCTTCCTTGTTTCTTCCTATCTTTGTCTCTTCCCATCTTGGATCCCCACACTGGAAGGATCTCTGCCCTCCCTGCCCCCACCTGGTGAGCTCTGACCCATCATTCAGGTGTGCCCCCCTCACCCCCTGCCTCTGTCATCCTCTGCAGAGGCCGTGACTCTCCTTCAGGCACTTTCTGGGTGTGTCACCGTCACCAGGCTGTTACTTGACCCCGTCTGCATTTCCATGGGGCTGTGAGCTCCAGAGCGCAGGGATAAACCTCTCGTGATGAGCGTGGTCTGGGACATAGCAGGCGCCGTGAATATTTATTAATATTAATGAGAGTGCGGCACATCGTGCACTTCACAAATACTGACTGAATGACCAACAGCCCGTTACTCCTCTCTCTCCTCCTTTCCACCCAGAGCTGCGGGGAGCAGGGAGCGGAGGGGAGAGTGAGGCTGAGGCCGGGGGCTGGGGGCTGGGGTCGGCCAGGAAAGGAGGCAGGTCCAAGCAGGGCAGTGGCGGGGGGGCTCCAGGGCGGCAAGAGGACAGGCTGGGACAGAGCACCATGCCCCCTCAGCCCCTCCCTGCTCAGGAATCCCTGCTCAGCTCCCTGGGGAGTCACCCCCTGCAGGTCCCAGGGGTCAGGAGGCCCCTGGGCCCCCGAGACCACGACGCCCCACTGGGCAGAGCGATGAGAAGATGCTCGGGCTGGGGTGATGACGGCAAACCCTTCACCTTGGATGGGAACCAAGGCCCGGAGTGTCAGCCACTTGTCCAGGGTCTAGAACAGGAGCTGCCCAGTCTTGGCCATGCCTGACCCCCACAACCCCTGAAGAGAGACCAATCCCAGCGCACAGACGAAGAAACCAAGACCGTGAGATGGAGAGACCAGCTCAGAGTGCTCACAGGGGAGGGCAGAACGAGCTCTCAGATCTCAGGTGCAGGCTCCAAACTGCATTTCATTATGAATTACTTATTTGTTCCTTGTCTACTGCCAAAAACCAGGATCTTAAACAGTATTTTAAATAAAAAAGCTTTAAATTTAAAGCTTCAAGTTTAACAGAGAACTAATCAGAAGGAGGTGAGAAACAAAACAGAAGCACCACACACCACAGTGGGGGGCACTGAGCACTAACTTTAGATATGAGCGCCCTGGCAGCTAGGGCTGAGAGGGAAATGTGCCAGGTTACACTCATAAGTGGTCCAAGGGAGTGTCATTGAAATAAAGAGAAGTCAGAGGCCCCATGAGAATTCAAGAGAGTCAATCCATAATGGATGAAATGAGAGAAATGAGAAGTCCTTCATGGGGCAGGACAGACATTGACTGGAAGAGGACCGGCTCTGAGAACTGACCACAGCAGCCAACGTCTCTAAAGAGAGGAGCGTTGTTCCTCAGACATGCAAAGGAAAGGGGTGGTCCTGCAGGCAGGGCTCCTTGCAGTCCTGCTGGGGGAAGAGTGCAATGCCCAACAGCCCCGCCTGCTGGCCCCAGGGCCCAGCCCAGCTTAGCTGGATATGAAAAACCTCAGAGGTCCAGGACTAGTCTGACCCCGACTCAAGGCTCACCCAGCTGCCACCCAGTGTCCCCCATTGCTGAGGGCAACCACAAGACCGTGGGCCTCTCAGCAGTGTGTGCCCACATCCCTTCCTCAGTCCCCTGTGCCCTTGACGATACCAATCTGCCTGGCATCAGATCCTGGACCACAGTGATCCTGGGTGACAATGCCCTCTGAGGCCCTGGGAGTGGCTGCCAACTCCCCACCGTCCCCAACCATTCGCCACCATCACCACGGGCTGGCCTGCCCCTCGCCTGGGCCCCTCTGGGGTTGCACCAGCATCACGGTCTACCCCCGGGGAAGGAGGGCTGGCTCCCATCCCAGCTTCACGGGACAGCTGGGAGCCAGGCCTGGCCAATCAGAGCCCCACGCGCCCCTGTGGCCCAGGTGATTGGTTCAGGCGTGGGCATGTGACCTAAGCCGGGCCAATCAGAGCCAATGGGCTATGCCAGAGTGACAGCATGGCTGCTGGGGCTACCTCCCCCTCCAGGGGAGGACCCACCCAGAGAGAGGCCAGAGGCCTTGGAAGTGGAGACGGAGAGGGCTGAAGCTGCTGGACCATCTCCATCCATCGGGACTGGGCAGAAAGCGACCCAGGGGCCCCAGTGAGATGGACAGCACCTCTGCTCTCTTGGGGAGCCCTGAGCGAGACAAACAGACGTGCTTGCTCTCTGGGGGAGCCCTGAGTGAGACAGAGAAACAGTCTTGCTCTCCGCAAGTTTCCATTCTACGGGGCGCAGATTCCAGATCTTAGATGGTGGTGGCGCTGTGGGAGAACACAGCAGGGAGGCGGTGGGGCCGCTATTTTGGAGAGGGTGGTTGAGGAGACCTGCAGGAGGTGAGGATACCTGGGGCATGATCAGTCCAGGAAGAGAGCAGCAAGTGCAAAGGCCCTGAGGCAGCAGCGTGCTGGGTTTGAAGAAGAGTGGGCAGACGCTGAGGCTGGAGCAGGGGTTGTGAGTGGGGAGCAGCAGGAAAGGCCTGTCCCAGAGGTGACAGGAGCCAGATGGAGGAGGGCCTGTGGACCCCTGCAAGGATCCAGCTCTTTCTGAGTTAAATGGGGTGGCGGCAGGAGGGTTTTGCACAGGCTCGAGGCAACTTGACAGGTTTTAATAGGATCTGGGCTGCGGCTGGAGGGCAGCGAGGGGGGCAGGTGGGAGCAGGAGAGCGCGGGTGGCCGGCAGGGGCGGGGAGCCGAGGCAGGAGACGGCTAGCGGCAGCTCTCTCCTAACCCTCCCACGTTCTGGGAGGAGAACGTTTTACTAGCTTATTAGGGAAGATTCATGCGTTTTGCATGGTTGATCTGACTAGAAAAGGAGCTTTACGTACATTCGAATTCAGAGGCAATAGGAGAAGAAGTGACGCCCTCGGGGAGAACTGTTAAAACTGACAAGTTGCAGGAAGCGCATCAGAATACAAACAGATGGAAGGAGTCGGCCCAGCGGCTTTTAAAGACTCGCTTATTGGATTTCTCAAAACACAGCAGAGGGGAGACAAGGCCGCCAGCCTGCACCGTAGCAGGCCAAGGGGGGGCGGGCGGCCATCCATGATATCAGTGCAAAAATACTTGGGGTACCAGCAAAACGCACCAGGGGAGCCGGAAGGGCGTCCGCCTCCAGGGGCTGAGCGCCGGCCAGGCCCACGCCCGCCCCTGCCGTTCTGGGCGCTCTAGCTCAGCAACGCAGGGACGTGCTGTGTGGCTCAGGGGAAGCCTCTGACCCTCTCTGAGCCTCAGTTCCCGCATCTGTCAAACAGGGAAGGCACATTCGTCTCACAGAATCCCTGCAAGGAGCACAGTCAGGGGCGGTGCGCACGCTGTGTGGGCAGACGGCAAGTGCTGCCCCACGGAGTCCCCTATGCCGGCAGTTACCCAGTGCCTCCGCCGCCGAGCACCCTCGGGTGACAACTGAACGGGACGCAGCCTGCCCTGAGCCTCACGCCGACTGCTGCCCTGGCCACGGCCGGTGTTTGCAATCACGTCTGTTGGGGCTGAATTGTGTCCCCCAAAAGCGATGTTGAAGTCTTACCCCCCGGTACCTGTGGATGTGACCTTATTTGGAAACAGGGTCTTTGCAGAAGGAATCAAGCTGAGACGAGGTCATTAGGGCGGCCCTAATCCATCGTGACGGGGGTCCTTGTAAGGAGAGGGGAATTTAGACAGAGACACACGGGGAGAAGACCACGGGAAGACGGAGGCGGGGACGGGAGCCGTGCGTCCACAAGCCAGGGGGCACGAGGGATGCTGGGAGACCCCGAAGCTGGAGGAGGCAGGAAGGACCACTCCGTACAGGGTTCGGAGGGAGCACAGCCCTGCTGACACCTTGATCTCAGACTTGCCGCCTCTGGACCTTTGAGAGAAGCAACTATCGCTTTAAGCTGCAGGTGGCGGCACCTCCTCACTCAGCCCCAGGAAGCCCCAGAGCCAGGGCGGCTCTGCCCCCGGTTCCTGTGGGCCTGGTCTTACCTCTGGGGGCTGGGCGCCGCCACCTCCTGGGCCTCCTGGGCCTCCTGGGCCTCCTGGGCCTCCTGGCCGGGCGGGGGCCCCGCCGGCAGCTGCAGCTCCAGGACGTAGTGCATCTGGGTGAGCAGGGCCAGCAGGAGCGCGGGGTAGGCCTCCTGCACGGCCCTCCTGAACTCCCGGGCAAGCTGCAGCTTGTGCAGCGTGTTCATGGCCTGGGGGGCAGCAGGGGCCGCTGAAGCTCCGGCCTGGGGCCTGGGGGCCCGGCCTTCTGATCCACCCTCCGACAAAACCCACGTCCAACCGCGCCTCTCCCCGCCCGCTCACACCCTCCGGGACCAAGACTCTCCGGTATGTCCCTCCTGCGGGGCCCTGGCCCTCCCCCCGTGCCCTCTCTCTCTGGACCCTCCACCTGTCTCCCTCTCCCTGCTGCTCGCAGGCCAGGCGGGTGCCCCCCACCCCTCCATGCCCCAGGGACGCGTCCCCGACCCCGCTTGTTCCCGCTCTGCTGTCTCTCTGGAGCCCTTGCGCTCAGTCACTGCTGAGCAGGCGACCATCTGCCTCATGTCTGGCCCGTCTGCTCTGTAGCCCTGATGGCCAGCCGTGCGGGTCTGTGCTCCCCGCAGCATCCTCAGCACAGAGCCTGGCACACGGCAGGTGCCTGACGAATGAATGTTGGGAGAACAATGGCCCTGGAAGGCAGAGCTACCAGGCAGCAGCCCTGGGGCCTCCTGTGCCTCAAGGGGCATTTGGTCCAGCATGTTCTAGGGGGGTGGGGTGGCCAGCACTGATCTGTGATGACAAGGGGAGGGCAGGGGCTGGGGGCACGGTGCGGTGCAGGGAAGGCCACCCTGCTGACCCCATGCTGCTGTGCGGTCTCCAACAAGAAGGCCGGCATCAGCCTGGGGCTGGGGGACATCGAGGAGAAGGGCCGACGGAGGGCCAGGCCAGAAGAGAGGGTGGGACATCCCTTCTGCCACCACGTTCAGCCGTCACAGCTCTGCTGCAGGCAGCAGCTTGTCTAGGGGGCTCTGGGTGGGGAGGGGAGGCTGCGTGCTCCGGACCGCTGCTCAGGGGGCTTTTAGGTGGGAGGTGACCTCAGCCTGGACAAAACCAGGGTCGGGCCCAGCTGCGCCCCCATCAGAGCCCAGCCAAGGAGGACAGGGTTAGCTGTGTTAGGAAGTGAGCTTCCTGCTCCTGGGGCGGTGCAAGCAGGGCCTGGGCTTGTGGGGAAAGCTGAGGGGTGGGGGATGAATTCCTACAGGAGGGTGGGGGCTGCAGGAGGCAGCCTGTAAGATTCCCCCAGAATCTACAGCCCCCAGAACTGAAGGATGCGTGTGGGGCCTCACCCCCTTCCTCCCTGCCTGAACCCCGCCTGCAAAGCCCCTGTGCTGGGAGCCAACCACGCAGCGAGTCCTGAGTCCTGGGTACACACCATGCGACTGAGTGCCCTCACTGGCCCTCAGGACTGTGACTGTCACACTTCACCGAGGGGAGACGGGCTGCTCAAGCAGGAAGTGGGGAGCTGGGCTTGGGCCCCGGGCCTGTGCTGTCAGCCCCCCACCCCAGGTGGCTCGGAGGCCCCCTCCTCCAGGCTGGGCTGGGCTTCCTGGATATGGGGCTCCCCCTCCCCAGGGGCTGGCACACAGTGGGGGCCCCAGATGCCCCGACATCTGACTGAATGCACACATGACGTCAGCCCCGGCCTGGTGGCAGCTGGGACGGGGTCGAAGCGGGTGGTGCAGAGACTCACGGCCAGCGAGCGCAGGTAGCTCTTCTCCTGGGGCTGGGAGCTGCCGTCACTGGCCCCGGTGGGCAGGGGCCGTTCCCGCAGCCAGGCCATTAGCAAGGCCAGCACCAGGCGGCTCACGGGCAGCTCGGCCCCCAGGGCCCTCCACAGCTGCAAGGCGAGGCTGCGGGCAGAGAGGGGCCGGGAGGGCAGCACTGAACCTCCGGCCTGCGGGCTCAGCCATGCCTGGACCACCACGACCAGGGCCTCAGGTGCCTAGAGCGGAGGCCAGGCTGGGTCCTAAGCTGGATCCTAGCAGGGCGGAAGGCCGAGGGGTGGAAGGAGCTCTCAGGGTGGGGGCTGGACAGAGGAGAGTGTGGCCTGGGGGACACGTGGCAGAGATGGCGCCAGCTGCCCTGATCTGTGCTCCTGGATCTCCCCATTTTCTGGGTCTCCCCTCCAGGCCCCTCCCACCCCAGCTGTAGACTCTGACTGTCTGTCACCCTCAATGGCTCCCAAGTACTGGCAGGACAAGTCCAGCTGGTGCTCAGAGCTGTCACCCTCTGACCCCTGCCCTCTGACCTCCAGCCCTGCCTGCCTTCCCTCCTCTCCTGCCTCTGGGCCCTCACGTGTGCTATTATTCCCTGTGCTTGGAGCCTTCCTCCTCACCTGGCCTACTCCCACTCAGCCCTTAGGGCTCACCATAAAGTCACTTCCTGACTTTCCTAGGAGGAAGCCTGGCTGCTTCCTCCTAGGCCTGGGTTTACTGGGGTCCAGCTTCCCCGGGCCCAACCTGGGTCAAGTTAGGGGCCATCACTGGTATGTGCAGAGCTGTGCAGTGTCCTCGTGCCCATTTTGCAGATGGGGACACTGAGGACTGCGGAGGGAGAGGATGTGCCCTGACCAGGGCCCTGCCTTCTAGCCGGGGAGCTGGGGAGCTGGGACGGGAGGCCAGGCCCGCCCGGTCCTATGGCCTTTCTGCCTGGTCCAAGGACGTGGCCCTGTGAAACCTGGGGGAGGCAGGGGGTGTCAGGGCTCCCAAGATGTCGGTGACCATGATGGCCCTGTTTTCTGCAGTAGGTGGTCTTCGGGCCTGCGTGCTGGGTGGGAGGGGCTAGAAGTACAGGAGGGGCTCTGGAGTAATGGGGTGGGGGCTGGGAGAGCCATAGTGGGGGGCCTGGATGAGCCCACCCCTGGCTTTAAGACAGACCCAAGGGGGGCTGCCCTTGAGCCCTGGGGAAGCCAGCACAGTCCCATCTGCCCCGGGGCTGGGGGCCACAACAGCTCAGAGGACTCTGGGAGATTCCAAAGTGTGGCCACTGCCCCCCCTGGAAAGAGTAAGGCCTTTGGAGTCAGAAGGGCCTGGGCTCAAGTCCCTGCTCTGCCCCCTGCTGACTGTGTGACCTTGGGCAAGTCACTTCACCTCTCTGGGGCAAAGCCTGCCTGGAGAGGCTTACGTGAGACGAGTCTCCAGGAGCAAGGGTGCCCAAAGGGCCAGGGTTTCTATTTTACCCCCTGTGGTCATCTGTCACTCAGTCGGCACGTGTGTGCTGAGCACTGTCATGTGCAGGCAAAGTCCCAGGGGACCTGCAGTGACAGAACCGGTGAAGGTCCCTGACTGCGTGGGAGTGAGCCCCTGTGGTCTGACCCGGGCAGCAAACAAGGGCATGTCAGATGCTACATGTAAAAAGTCGGGGGGGGGGGGACAGCGGGAGGGCACAGCTAGGGTGTTGTCAATTCTTAGTAGGGCAGCTGGGTCCCTTCGCTCAGAAGGGGCACGAGCAGAGACCTGAGGTGTAAGGGGGGAGCACACAGCCCTGGGGTGGGGAGAACCTTCCGGCTCTGAGACAGCTGCATTCTTGATGAGTCCAAGGGACAGCAAGAAGGGCCAGCGTGGTCGGGCGGAGGGAGGGGGCAAGGACAGGAGGACAGTGAGACCGTGGGGCCACGTCACGACCCTGTTGGCCACTGTGAAGGTTCTGGATTTGACTTTGGATGTGATGGGGCACCAGAAGGGTTGGAGTAGAGGAGTAATATGGTCTGACTCATTGTTAAGGCTACTCTGGCTGCTGGGAGGGCAGTGACAGAAATGGGCCAGGGACCCTCAGTGAGAGCTGTGATGTCCTGACCAGGGTGGTGGTGGAGGCTGGGGGAGATGATGGGGGCTGAGGGAGATGACGGGGCCTGGGGGAGATGGGGGCTGGGGGAGATGGGTCCTTAGATGTAGGTCACAACCCGATCCTAGCTTTTGCACAGATGATGGCTTCCCAGGTGCGTACTGGATCACTACAAGAACCACTGCTCTAAGTAAGAAATTAAAGCAGGCCGTGCACAGAGCAACGATGGATGTGTGGCACACCAGGGATGGCCTCTAGTCCAGTCTGGGGCAGCTGAGGGCCAGTCCAATAAAAGTAGTAGGGGAGGATGAAAGAGAGAAAAGAGAAAACAAGAAAATGTGGTAAACTGATTCTGAAAGTTGTGTAGAAATGCAAAGGGCCACGAACAGCCAAGACAGTCTTGAGCAAGGAGTGGGGGCACTTTCTGTACCGGGAGAATTATGACAAAGTTACGGGACTTAGAACCTTGGGCGCTGGCACAGGGACAGACAAGCAGAGACTGCCGAGCAGAGATGGGCCCCAGCACACGGCACTGGACCGTGAGCAAGGGGGCGTCCGGGCTGCAGGAACGGGGTGGGGTTTTCAGTCAAGGATGCTGGGATGGTTAGGTGAAACTGGGGCCCGATCTCACGTCTCGTGAAAATCACTTCTGGTTGAGGGAGGGGGGCTGGAGGCCTGAAGGCCAAAGGCAAACGCTTGAACTTTCATAAGACAGCGTCTGAGAGGGATTAACCTCAGAACTCCTTTTCGTCAAAGACACTAAAGGAGAGAAAAGGCAAGCTGCAGGCAGAAACAGGTATTTGTAACATAATAATCAGCAGAGGGCTTGTATGCGGATTCCATAAAGAACGCCTAGAAATTGATGAGAAAAAGACAGACAACCCAATAGAAAAATGTGTCGGATACTCAAACAGCGTATCGCCAAGACACCCAAATGGCCAAAGAGCACATGAAAAGATGTTCAGCCCCAGGATTTAATCAGGAAAGTGCAAATTAATACCACAATATGATAAACATACCAGATGGGCTAAAATTTTTGATGATTGGCTAAAAAGTTGATGCGAAACGCTGGAGAAGAGGTGGAGGAACAGGAAAAAACAAACAAAGCCTACTGGTGGAGTGTGAGGGGTATGAGCATTTTGGAAAACACTTTGCATCGTATATTGAACTGGGATCTATGCAGAGCTTTACACTTCAGCCGTGTCTGTCCTGGATGCAGTGTGGAGCCTGGGTGCGTCTGTGCATCGGGGCGCACACAAGCCGTTCACAGCAGCACCGTTCATCATCGCACCAAAGAGGAAACCCCCCAAATGTCCATCTGTAGTAAAAAGCATAACTGGCATCCATACGCTGGGACATGACACAGCAACAGTAATGAACCAACTCCAACCATATGTAATATATTAGGATGAATCTTAAACACATACGATTGAGGGAAAAAAGCCAGATAACAAAAGGATATTGGAAGAGTACATATTGCACAGTTCTGTGTCTACGGTTAGGACACACCACTATTCCTTCATGTACTTCTACAGAAGAAAAATGAGCACAACAGGAGTCCAGTAGGAGATCCCATCCTAGAGCTGGGCCCCCAAGGGCGGCATGTTCAGTGTAAATGTGATAAAACAACATAACACCTGCCCTGCAGAAGGAAACAGCGGGGAGACCTGTGTGCCTCAATCAGCCCTGGGTGCAAGGAGCGGGGTTCTCCTGAGAATTTGAACCACAAAACCTGTCTGGGGTCTGAATTCACACCACCTGTGTGGCCAAAACATCCTTAAGCGGAGACTTTAAATCTGAAGTGTCCTCAGGCTGACAGTGTCCCCATGTGACTGAGAAGCCCACCTAAACCCAGGTGTAAGCACCATCCATGTATAATGCACTCCCATTTCAGACATGTTACATGAGAAAAATGTGCTTCTTAGAACTGAGGAAACAAGACATAAATTCCAAAACAGATAAAACTGAACTACAGACTTCTGGGCAGCTGAAGACAATGGTGGCTGCCCTGGTCCCATCTCTCAAAAGTTCCCTGAAAACAACACAGAGCAAGAAGAAGAGAAAAGTAAAACCACACAAAAACAGGACCCCAGAGAATACTCAAACTTCAAAATTACTGTAAGCAAAACAGAAGAATGCCAGTCCCAGCCTGCAATCTCTTACATCCCACCCACCCCTGCTCCCCCAGAGGCTTCGTGGCAGAAAAGGCAGAAGGACAGAAACTGTGGAGAAGAGAGGAGACAGCAGCCAGCTACGGGGCTCAAAGCTGATCCACATCACCTTCAGGAAGACAAAGTCCATCCTAAGTCTGAAAATTTGGAAAAAGGGGAAAAAAAAAGAGTCCAAGTAGACCAGGGCACTGAGCACAGGAGAGGGACTGAAAAGTATGCCCAGTCTGAAGGGCAGCTGTGGGGAGAGGAAGAGGGCAAAAGAAAGACGCACCCTTTGGAAACTGAGTGGTGAGAGGGAAAGATGCGAAAGGGAGAAATTTAGGGTCCTGCAAGAGAAAAGAGACCCCAAAACTGGAGGATACTTGACCCTTTCGTCTACTACCCAAACGAAAAAATCCGCTACGTTATCTGGGCTTTCCTGTCCTGGCAGAAGAGGGTGCCATTGAACTTGAAATCCTATAAATCACTTCAATAGTGTTTCATAGGAACAGGTACAAAATTAACAGACACATAGAGTTATTGCAAAGAAATCAGAGAACAAAAATCAACACGTCAAATGAGGAAACTCCTCCTCTGAAAAACAATCGTGATGCAGAAAAAACTGTAAGACAACGCTCCAAATGCAGTTAAATATACTCAAGCAAGCATTTAAAGATATGAAAGCCACCTTGAATTATAAATTCAAAAGGACAAAAAGAAAAAAGCCTCAACAAGAAATGAAAAGAGAGTTGACTGAATTCAAGGAAGAGATGGAAAAAAAATGACAAAATTAGCTCAGAAGTGAAAAAAAGTACAAGGTGCCCCAAAGAGATAAGACTCAAATGAAAATCTGGTAGGGGACATTGAGGAAAAGAAGAAAAACCATCAAGAAAATGAAAGTAAATTTAAGAAGGAAGTAAGAAGGATTAGAGAGAAAGCAGTGGATACGGAGGACAGCATGTGAATTAACGGAGTCTGTGAAGAAGAAAAACACAATGGAACAGAACTAATATTTAAAACTATAACCAAGAGAACTTTCCAGAAACAACAACAACAGACCCAAATCTACTTATTCAAAGGACCCACCATGTACCTAGGAAGATTAACACAGAATAATCAATTCTGAGACATTTCTTAGTAAAACTGTTAAATTTCAAAGATAAAGAAAAAATCTCCAAGGTCTCCAGGCAAAAAGATCAAATAACTCACAAAGGCAAAAAAAAAAAAAAAAATTATTGTCATCAGACTTTTCAAAAACAAAGTGAGGTAACAACTGGGCAGCATTTAAAAAATACTTAATAAACGAAAGTATGAACCAAGAATTTTATATCCAGCCAAGCTGTCCTCTAAGTAAACAAGTTTCAACATAAAGGTACCTAGGGGTTCTGAAGCCATGAACCTTTGTTGAGAAATCTATCAGAGGATGAGCTTCATCAAGCTAAGAGATGACTAGAAAATTCTGGCAAAGGGAGTGATGGTGAGTGTGTGTACACACTGAAAACAAATGTGGAGTGAGGGGGGACCACTAGAGTGGAAACTTGCACAAAGTAGAAATGTGCAACTGAAAACATAGGAGAAGGGAGACAGAAAGAAGAAGATAGAATAATCTCACTGATGATTATATGCGCAAGGGGTGGGAGTTAAAGGACATCAATAAAAATGGATAAACCTTGGGGCCAGCCCCATGGCGCAGTGGTTAAGTTCAGTGCACTCTGCTTTGGTGGCCTGGGGTTTGTGGGTTCAGATCCCGGGCATGGACCTACACCACTTGTCATCCACGTGGTGGCAGCAACGCACATACAAAATAGAGGAAGATGTTAACTCAGGGATAATCTTCCTCAAGCAAAAAAAAGAGGAATATTGGTAACAGATGTTAGCTCAGGGTGAATCTTCCTCACCGAAAAAAAAAAAAAAAAGGATAAACCAGATATTAAAAGGTTAAATAAGGAAACAAGGGACTCAGGCCATTAAAATAGGTGAGGAGTACAAAGGTAACAACTAGAACAAAAATACAACCCTTCCCAAATTAAAAAAAAAACCTAAAGATCAAAGACTACACATCTCATAGAAAAAGAAACATAGCAAATATAACAAAATACACACAATTACAAAATATTATAACAGAGCCGAGACTCAAAATATCAGTCATATCAATTAATGTGAATGGACTTAACTCACTTATTAAAAGAAAAAGATTTTCAGTTTGGATCACAAATCAAGACCAAACTGTATGCTGTAAATAAGATGACACCTAAAACAATGGATTCCAAAAAGTTAAAATAAAAGGAATGATGAATGCATACTGGGAAAATGGGAAAGAATAAGAAAGCAGAGGCAGTGATCCCAACAACAGACAACGTGGAATTCGGGCCCTCAGAGCACTAAACGTGACAAGGCAGGACACTTTTTAAGGGGAAAAGTCACAGTTCATAAAGAAGATATGACCCTTATGAATATGAATGCACCAGATAACATGGCAACCACCTTTCTGAAGTAAAAACTAGAGGAGATGGAAGGATACATAGACAGAAACCCATTAATAGGAGGAGACTTGAACACACCCGTCTCAGCACAAGACAGATGAAATGGACACAGATTAAGTAAGGATGTGCAGACCTCAACAGCACGATCAGTCAGGTAAATCTTGTGCATATATATCAAGCCCTACCACTGATGACAGAAAATACACCTTCTTCTCAAGTGTCCGTAGAACATTCACAAAAATTGTTGCAAAGAGCAGTAAATCCCATAAAGCACAAATGTTACAGACAACATTCTTTGATCACAATGCAATAAAACTAGAAATGACTAACAACAACAAAAAAGGCCCTTCCAAATGGAAATCAGAAATCTTTCTGGAAACAGGCCTTGGGTGCTGGCAGCTTGTGGGAACCCCTCCTGGTGGCTTCTGACTTTTCAGTGGAATGGAAGCTAGGTGGGCAGCTGAGCGTGAGGGGTGGGCGGAGGTGCTGGGGGCGGAGGGGAGGGGGTGGGGAAGTGCAGCTGAGGGCCCACTGGAGGCACGTGGTGGTGCGCTTTTTCCTGCCTTTGGCTGCACAGGTGCAGATGTGAAGTGGGTGGAGCCAGGTTTAACCACAGTTGGGTTTTGCCAGCTAAGTGTGACAGAGGGGACAAGGGACTTGAGGTGTGTTTAGGGAGTGACTGTAACACTGGGAGATGGAATCTACCCTGGTAAGAAGGGAGATGAGGAGAGGTGAGGGACAGTGAGAAGGTGGGCAGGGCAGTGAACCTGGAGGTCCTGGAGAGCAGAGGCTCCTTGGGGCATCAGAGAGAGCGAGCTGTAACGGTGGGAGGTGGTCGGAGGTGGGGGAGAGACGCATGGAACTGGATATGACCAAGCAGAGGGGAGGACACTGGGAGAGGAGGGCTGAGGGAGGACGGAGGACGGGATAGCTGGGAGAGAGGACATCCAGGCACTGAGAAGTCAGGGTGAGGGGAAGATAGTGAATCCCCAAGATCGAGACAGGGTGAGTGAGCCACAGGGTGCTTGTGACCAGCATCTACATCCTCAGGGTCCCAGGGGTGACCCAGGGCAGGCACGAGGTGGATGGATAGCAGGTGACGCAGACTGAAGACCTGGGACTCAGAGCTGGGATTTTAGGGAGGAAAAGGACCACCTAAATGCTCAGGGGTCTGGGGGCTGTGGGAGAAAGCCAGCCCCCCTAGAGATGGCTGTGGTGGCCGCTGGGGGTGCAGAAAGGGGAGTCGAGAAGCAGGAAGGATGGCGAGGCTTTGGTGTTGGCTGGGGTCCTGCCCCCACCCCCCCATCAGGTGATGGGTGGTTGAGCCTGGGGCAGGGGTGTTTTATGTGGAACACGATAGAATGAACGGTGAGCGTGCCTCCCCAGAGCCGGCCCCAGGAGGTGCACCATAAATGAACAAGTATGTGGGCTTTCTCCCTGCCCCCAGCCCCGTGGGGGGTCTCCCTGTGGGCTGTGAGGGGGCAGGCAGGAGGGCCCCCTGCCTGGGGGAGGGGGGAGGGTGGGCAGTGGGGCAGTGAGGGAAGGTGGGCTGGGCACCTGTCCAGGGGGATGGAGAAGTCCAGGAAAGCAGCCACCAGCTCGGGAGTGTGGTTCTGGGCCAGCAGGGTGATGGCGCGCAGGGCATTTTCCTTGGCTTGGGAAATGCGGATAGAGTAGAGCTGCAGGTGGATGGCCCGGCTCAGGCTGGCAACCTGTGCAGGGAGACAGAGTATGGGGGAGAGGGCTAGTCTGACGGGGGAGGCCAGGCCCTGCCCTGGTGAGCCTAAAGGGGGAGCAGGGTCCTGCCCCGGTGAGCTTGGAGCCCCTTCAGATATGGTCCTCTCCCGAGGGGGGAGGCACAGCCCTGCCCAGGGAAGTCTGAGGGGGGAGGCACTTCCCTGTCCTGGATGCCTGGTTAGAAAGGGAGTCCCAGTCTGAGAGAGACAGGTACCACTACTTTTTGCATTGGGTTTTGGGTTTTTGCATTTGCATTTGGGTTGGCATTTGGGTCTTCCAACTCTGTCCAAACGGTGCCCAGTCATTGGAAGGTTCAGACACACCCGCCTCGCCATCTCCTAACACCCCACTTTCCGTGTGCCCGGAAACCCTCCTCCCTCCACTGTCATCCATGAACCCCAGCTCCAGCATTGCCCACCCAAGGCTTCCAGGCCTGCAGGACCTGGCACTCGTTCTCCTCTCTCGGGGGCCCCCCACCCCCGGGGTGCACCCCTTTGCCTTTCCGTTCACTATGCTGTCCATCCTTCTCTGTGCCTTGCCTGTCCCCTCCGTCAGACTGAGAGCTCCCGGAGGGCCAGGCCGTGTCTTCCCCTCCTCCATTCCCACATGAGGGCATGCAGCAGCTGCTCAATCAATGCACGCCTGCCCCTTGACCCTGCAAACACCACCCAGCGCCCCAGGACACCTGCTTGAGCCATCCCCTCATTCATTCATTCATTCATTCATTCAGCGGGACTTAGCAGGGTGGGATCTGTCTCCCCCATCAGGCCCAAGCTCAGGGACACTACCTTGGCCGGAAGGCCCTAGTCCCTGGGTGCTGACTGCTGGGGTGTCCCTCCGCCCCCTGCCCCCTCCTGGCCAGCCCTCAGTGGGGTCCCCAGTGCCCTTACGGTCTCCAGCTTGGCCCCATGCTCCTGGATGGCGACCAGCAGCATGTCAGCGGCCGCCTGCACGCAGGAGGGGTTGGTGGAGCCCAGGCCATCGATGGCCGTCCAGATGAGGTCAGTCAGCTCTGCCACCGTGAGATACTTCATGATCTTCTGTAGCAGGGGGAGTGGAGGGCAGCTGTCACCACAGGTCACCTGTGCCCAGGCGCCCACCTCCTGCCTCTGCTCTTACCCTCTCTCCTTTGCTCCAGCTCCCCCAGGCTCTGAGCACTTCCAGACTCCTGAGCCCCACTCCTCTGGCTCCCCCAACACATGTACCCCATTTTGCAGTTTGATCGCCTGCACAGATCTCTGAGTCAACCACAGCCCAGGGGGCAGGAAGGGAGGGCACGATGCCCATTGTAGGGCAGAATCACGGCTCCCTTCCACACTCAGGGTGTGTCCCAGGACCCATGTGACCTGGCCAGCCTCCTCTCTTCCCCTCTCTGCCCGTCTTCACCTCACAGGCTTTCTCGTCTGCTAGCATCAGCCCAGCTGGGTGCTCCCCAGGCCAGCCCCCAGCATTTTAATCAAGATCAACTGAACTTCAGAGCTTCCACGGATCTTCAAGGTTACCTGGACCAACCCCCAGGCCCTCACCACGCTGTAGGGTGGGGCTGGGCGGGGCCAGGCTGGGTCTGGAACCCAGGGCTCCTGTCCCATGGCAGGGCCTCCCTGGGAGCCTGACTCTGCTCTCAGACCACATTCTCCCAGGAGCAGCTCTAATGGTCCAGGGAGGTGGGTGTCACCTCCAACACCAGACCATGAGCGTTGGGGTAATGAAGAGGCTCTAGCAGAAATGCAAGGTGGTGGGTGGGATCCCTGTTCCACAGCCTCAGACCATGTCTCTGAGAGGGAGTGCTGGGCCAGCTTGGGGCTGCCCAGGCAGAACCTTCCAGAAAGACTTAAAGCATCGTTGCTCAATATGGTAGCCACCAGCCACATATAACTAATGAAACTTTAATTTATTTAAGTAAAAATTAAATTCAGTTCCTCAGTTGCACTAGTCACATTTCAAGTGCTCAATAGCCACACATGGCCAGTGGCTACCTTGAATAGTGCAGACATAGACACTTCCATCCTTCCAGAAAGTTCTATCGGAAGGCCCTGACGTGGAACATCTGATAATCAGAGGAAGATAGAATGCTGATGATGGACTGAAAGTTGGGAAGCCTGAGAGAATATTATAATGTTTGCAAGGAGGTTGAGGATGGTAAAACGTTTCTTTGCACGTTAGGGTATTTGTTGAAATGTCTGAAAGTCTATTAGGATGTTTGTATATTACATATAAAAATAAGTGTTGAATAACAGATGTTAGAATATTTATTAGAATCCTATTATTCTAAAATTCTGGTAAAATGTTTGTGAGAATGGTAGGTTATTAGTTGTTTGTTAGAATGTTAAAATAATTTTAATGAACTATTTGTAGTTTATCACAACTTTTTAAGAAGAATATTTGGCTATTGTTAATGTGGCTAGAACATTTGTTAGAAGATTAAATTTAAAATTGTTTTCTAAATGTTAAATTTTGGTTCAAGTTCTAGTATTTAGAATATTCGTGAAGAAATTCAACTTGGAATGGTGGTTAGATTCTCAGAATCCCAGAATACTACAATCTCAGGATTGGTAAATACTTACGAGATGTCTTACTTTAACCCAGGGCATGAATAAATGTGAAAAGGAGGTGGCAGAGATGGTAGAGATGGTGGTGGTGGTGGTGGTGATGGTGATGATGCTGATGGTGATGGTAATGGTGGTGATGGTGATGGTGGTGATGGTGGTGATGGTGATGATGACGGTGATGGTGATGGTGGTGATGGTGATGGTGGTGGTGGTGATGGTAGTGATGGTGGTGATGGCGGTGGTGATGATGATTGTAGTGGTGGTGGTGATGATGATGGTGGTGGCGATGATGGTGATAGTGATGATGGTGATGGTGATGGTGGTGATGATTGTGATTGTGGTGATGGTGATGGTGGTGGAGATGGTGGTAGTGATGGTGGTGGTGGTGATGGTGGTGATGGTGGTGGCGATGAAGGTGTAGTGTATCCAAGACCACATGGGGAATCAAGGACAGACTTGGGACCAGAACCCAGGTCTGTTCTCCATCTCAAACCTTCCCAGATCTACCATCCCTTGATTAGCAGACCATTCTATCCTCTCCTCTCTCTATGCTCCTGTCTGTCACTGTCTCTTGTCCACAGAGAGCCGGAGCCGAATGCCCACTCCCTGTGTGCAGGGTCAGCGCAGGTTAGGGCAGACTGCCCTTCCCAGCTCCTAGACACTATGCTCCTAGTCCACCTGAGGGCCTGAGTGCTCTGGGGCCCCTTCACCATTGGCCCCCACTGAGCTGATGGCCAGCGGAGCCCTCCCTTCCTGCCTTGCCTCTGCCCCTAGCTCAAGTTCTTTGGCATAAACTGAAGCCAAGCCAAGTTTTCCCATCTGGGACCAGACAATTGATGTGTTGGCCCTAGGGTGTTAGATTTTCTGTACTAAACTTCTGATCAACCTCAGCACGGACAGCTCGCTGCAGCTGCAGAGAGCACAGATCTGGAGTCAGCCAGGACCGGGTTCAAAACCCAGCAGGGCACTTACGAGTCATGTGCTGCCACGTCATCATTTGGTTCAATTTGTTTCAACTCAATGGTGCTTACTAAAGGCAGGCTCTGCCGTCAGGCCCTGTGCTGGGCCCTGGCAAGATCCCGCTTCTGGCCTGGAGTGCTAAAGGTCTAACGAGAGACTGACAAGCACAGCAAGAGCAGGGGTCTTCATTAGCCACGGGCTCAATACCAAGAATGGGCAAGACACCACGCCGAAGCCACTATGTTGGAGACATCATGAACTGGCCACTCAGAACATGAGGCTCCATGGAACGTGGCCTGTGCAGCCAACACCAGCGTCCAGTCCACACCCTGCGCCTCAGCCTTGCTCGTCTTCAGGGGACCACACAATTAACATCAGATAGGGACTGTCACAAAGATACGAGATTTCACTGGGGTGACGAGAGGGACCTTGGGGAACTACCAGATTCCCCAAGCCATTGACCAGGGAGGATCTGGCCAAGGTAGACCAGATGACAGCGCAAGAGGGGAGACATGATATGCCTTCAAAGGAGGAGGGTTTGGCTTTCAGAGGATTAAAAGAGGCCCCTGGGAAAATGAGGAAGGCGGGAATATTTCTGCAGAGTGGTCATCCTGCAAAAACCAGACTCAAAGGGAAGGAGCTCGCATGGTGCCTCAGAGAACACCTGCTATTGGAACGGCCCTGAGCCCCCATTTATTGGGGGCTCACAGCAGCCAGGACTTCATTGGCACCACTCTGCCCATTTTACAGAGGAAGACTGAGGCTCAGAGAGGAGAAGGGGCTTGTCCAAGGTTGCACAGCCATGAGAGACAGAGCCGGGACTCAAGCCTGGGCTGCTGATCCCAGAATCTGTCCCCAGCCCCCTCCCTCCAATTTCCCCTCCCTCAGCTCCCCTGTCCCAGACCAGGGGCGGGGGGCTTCTCCAATTGCTCGCAGTTAACCACCAAAGATGCAGGCAAGATCCTGGCCTCGGTTTTAATATTCACACCCCGGCCCAGGCACTGACCCCCTGAGTCCAGCCAGCCCGCACCAACAGCTGGAGCCCTGTCAGAAGGGGCGGTGGCAGTGCAGGTGGGAGCAGAGCATGGCCATGCCCGCCCACCCGGCCCTGCCCACGACTCTAAGCCTTTGACCTTGATGACTTGGGAGCTGTCGAGCTCGGAGATGTGGTCCTTCGGGGTCACCATCCGCCGGGGGCTGGGAGGAGCGGCCTTCTGGTCCCCACTGCTGCAGACGGGGGCTCCATCTGCACTGGGCTGGGCAGGCTGCTCGGGGGCCTGCATTTCCACCTGCGAAGTCTCTTCTGCTTGCCAGGGGTGGGCGGGGGTGGGATTGGGCAGGGGTGAGGGCAGGGAAAAGGTGGACTTGGGGTCTAGGCAGGCAGGAGTTAGGGTGGGCTCATTGCAATCAGAATCAGACCTGTGCCCCAGTTTGGGTGTGCGGGTCAGGTGAGGCCATTACAGGGCTATGGTTGAGGTGAGAGGTGGGTTTGGGGGCAGATTTGGGGGAGGTGGATTCAGGAGTGCTGGCACAGGTTAGGCTGAGGCCATGGCTGGGGTGGGAGTGGGTCCACCATGGTGGCCCAGGGGGCTCACCTCTCTGGCGCATCAGGAGCCAGTAGAGGTGGCCCAGCCCTTCCAGGCTGGAACTCTGCGTGGCCCTGTCTGGGTCCTGGCACAGAATCCCCAGCATGCCCACCAGCTGCCCCATCCGTGTGAAGTCCTCTTTTGGCTGTGGTGAGAGTGCAGGGGACCCACTGACAACAGAACCTACCACGGGGGTCCCCACCCTGCTGTGCACTTAGCCCAGCACGGTCAGTGTCAGAATGGACCCCTCAAATTGCGTGCCAGGACTTCGGTTTGCGCAAAATTGAAGAGGTGGCCAAAGAGCTCAGAAATCAAGAGAAATAATAGTTTAATGTAATATTTAGAAAAATGAAAATGAATGCAAAAATCCACGATGAGCAAAGTGTCAAACTTGTAAATAAGACAGGATCCGACCTTGCATTTCCATGACTTCGCCTTTCTCTCCTCACCCTGATACTGACCCTGGTTCCAACAAAACTTGGTTACAACCACAGGCAGCCAGCGCACAGGCCGTAGTGTTCTGAGCTGATTGTTTAAAGCCTCACACTAAAATACTCATGATTGTGGCGTGTTTTGCTGCCCCCATCCATGTCACCCCTGAGGCGAGTGTCTGACTTGCCTCACCCTAGGCCCCGTCCTGTGGTGTGGAAATTGATTTTGAGTACATTGAAGGCACTCTGAGCCCCTCTAGAGGGGTCCTCCTCACCCCAGGAATGCTGGAGGAGCCTGTGCAGTGAGCTTTCCCTGCGCGGAACACTCCCTGCTGCCCAACACCACTCCTGGCTCTCCGCCTTCACGAGAAAGGCACACCGCCGGGCATCAGGCGGGGACGAACTGATCTCCTGGTCTCCCCATAAGTCTCCATGAGGAATTAGTGCTGATTTTGGCTGAAGCACAGAACCAGTCCCTGCCTGAACATGTGCTCAAGTTCCTTCAACTCCAGGGCCACAGTGACAGACTGCCAGCTGCGAACCATGAAACGATGGGCCTGGTGACGGGCGGAGGGGCCGGGAGGTGGGAAGCTGGCTGCCCCACGCAGTAACTGCTAGCCCTAGTCTGGGGCAGGGCTGCACACTTTACAGCCCTTTCACCGCCCCCGCCCATCTGATTCCCACTCTATCACTCTGAGGAGGACTCATTTCCTCCCATTTCATGGCTGAGAAACAGGCTCAAGGCTCAGAAGGACCTGCCCAAGGATCAACGTGCGTGGATGACAGCCCAGCTTCCTGGGTCAGGGGTCAGGCAGGGCACCTGGGTTCAGAGCCCAGCTCGGGGACCTTGAGCAGGGGTCCCCAACCTCCACCCTGGCCTGCTTCCTTGCGTGTAAAAAGGGGGATTACCTGGCCGGGCGGCAGGGCACTCAGGGATCCACTCGGTCCTGGTGGCAGGGACCCAGGGGGCCTTGAACGCCACAGGTCGGGGTTGCGGCTCAGGAATTTGAGGAGGGCCACGAAAATGTACGCAGCCCGCTGCCGCTCGTGCGTCTTCTCCGACGCCAGCCAGACGTACAGGTGCTGCGGGGGGCGGGGAGGACGGGGGACGCGGACAGGGAGAGCTGCTGCAACCCCGGACCCCAGCTCCGCCCAGGCTCCGCCCACCCCAGCCCAGGCCACACCTTCTGCTCAGGCCCCGCCCACCAGGCTCAGGCTCCGCCCCCTCAGCAAGCCTCTGCCCTGGAAGTGAGGCTCTGGCTCCGTCCCCTCAACGAGGCCCCGCCCTCTTGTCCCAGGCTCTGCCCCCTCGGCTTCCAGGACGCCCCCGTCCAGCCTTCCCTGTCCTTGCGCACAGCCTTGCCGGTCCCCCTGCCCCAGGCAGCCAGCCACAGAGGAGGAGTCATTTCCTTCCTTTGTAGCCCACACACCTCTCCTGCTCGAAGCCCTTTGCGGCTCCTGGTTTTTAACCTGTTTCACACCATGCACCTCTTCCAGAACAGTGCTTTTCAGCGCACAGCATAAATGCACAGAATTACAAAGGGATAGGAAGGCATACTGAAACAGTTACGTCAAACAGTGTGAAGCCAAATTTGAGCCTCTTTGTTAAGGTGGTATAGGATTAGCCAGTGATTCTGAAAAGCGGTGTTTGGAGATCCTGTGACCCGCTGATGTGCTATGACACAGTGGTGACTTCCACTGGTGGCAGACACAGCTACTCCTGGCACTGCTGTGGTTTGTCGCCAACATCCCCAGGGTAGGGACATGCTACTGTGCAGTGAAAATGCATAAGGCATTTCCTCCCAGCCACACTCTCATTTCCTTCCAGCTCAGCACCCCGGGTCGGGAGCCCCCCCCAGAGGCTCCCCTCGCTCCACGAGGCCCCTAAGCCTGATGTGGCCTGGTCCCTGCTGACCTGCGCTCACCCTACCCCACCTGCACACTCACCTGGGCGCCCTCCCCCGCTCCAGCCATCAGAGCCTCCTCCCTTCTGGCACACTGTGCTCCGTCACGCTGCTCCCCTCTGCCCCCGCCTGGCCCCTCCCTTCTCTTCCCACCACCTCCTTAGTCCTCATTCAGCTGAGTCCCACTGGCCCTGACCTCCGACCCTCCCAGCAGAGCCAGCATCCCTGCTCTCGGCTGTCCCCTGCCCCTGGACTGTCCCTGCCTGTTGACTAGTCTCCGTCTTGTCAAGGCGGGACCCCCAAAGGGCAGTGGGTGAGTGGGGTGGTGGGCTCGTGAGACCCCTTTACGGCTGGGGACACTGCTGCAGGGGAAGTTCTCTGGGGGTAGGGAGGGCAGGTCTCGGCCAGGGCCATGGCCCGCTTCCTCACCAGCTCCCTATAGTGTGGCATTCAAGGCCCACTTACCACCAGGCTGCACCTGCTGCCCCCCGCCCCCCGAGTTGTCCCAAACCAATGTGATCGCCAAAGATGGACAGTCCTTAAGCCTTCATGTTCTTGGACCACTCCCATCCCAGTTCGGGCCCTACCTCCTCTGCGACATCCTCCTTCGTCCCTCCCCTGCCCCGCCTGTGCCCTCCCCAGCACTGCCCCCACTGGTCCTCACCGACAGCAGGAAGTACAGCTCGTCGGCCACGGGGTTCTGTGTGATGAAGCTCTGCAGCATCTGGTCCAGTGCCTTCAAGGTCTGCGTGTAGAGGGTCTGTGCAAGGATGAGGAGCCCCGGTGGGACGGAGGGCTGAGGCTGCGGCGGGGCCTGAGCGCACTGGCCTCTCGGTGCTGGTCGTGCCACCTCCTGCAGACTCCCCAGGCCAGGCTGCACACCAGCGAGCCCACACCAGGCTCAGGAAGGGACCCCCACCACCCATCCGTATTTGGCAGCTGGGGAGACTGGGCAGGGGGCAGTCTGGGACCTGCCCAAGGGCACAGGTTTCTCAGGGGCTGAGGCAAGTTCATTCCCAGCAGGGCTGGCTTCACAGGCGTGCCACCCGCACCAGCCCTGGCGCTCAGAAGGGCTCTGGGAGAGCTCGGTTTAATGCTCTGCTGTCACCATCTTGAAGTTCTTAATAAGTTTTAAACAAGAGCCTCTCGTTTGCACTGGTCCCAGCAAACTATACAGCTGGTCCAGATTCCTGAGTCTCACCCACTGAGTCTCACGCCCCAGTCTTTACTGCATGCTTGCCAGGCACGCTCAGGGAGGGAGGGGGCCACAGGAACGACCCAGTCACCCTCTTCTCAGTGCCCTCAGGAGCAGAGCACTGGGGCATTGGCCATAAACTCCCTGGGCACCCTGGGGAACTCCCTTCAGCTCTCTGAGCCCACCTTCGTCACCTGAGAACTGGGCGTGAAGCCAGCCCCACTTGCCAGGGTGGAAGGGGACACTGATGGGAACAAACAGGAGTCCCCAGTCCAGCGCCTGGCACTGGGTCACACTCCCCACGTGGGCCAGTCATGATGTCTCCCTGCAGGGGCGGCTTCTATTAACAGAACCCAGAGGGCTGGGGGCTGGCCAGGGGTGGAGAGCATCCCCGAGCTCCCTCCTCCAGGCTCCCCGGGCGGGGCGGGGCGGCAGAGGAGGGAGCCACTTACACTCCTGTTCACAGAGCGCCCTCTGCATCCAACACAGGGCACCCGGTATCTCCTTTCACCCCGAGTGTTGAGTACCATCAGCTTTATGATGGTCACCCCCATTTTACAGGTGGGCAAACGGAGGCTCTGAGCAGTTAAGAAACATGCCCAGGGTCCCCCAGCCCTGGCCTGTGGGGGTTCAGGGGCCCTGCCCGTCCAGCCCGCCCCCTCTCAAGCCCTGAGCAGCAAGCAGAGCTGGGTACCCTTCCCGAGGGGCCCCTCTTGGTGGAGGGACGTGGGCGCCAGGTTTGCACCTGTACGTCGGGCATCTCCAGAGAGAGGTGGATGTCTTTCTCCAGGACGTCCAGCGGCGGCAGGGCCAACACGCTACGGAGGCAGGTGGACAGAAGCCGCGATTTCCTCTCCGGGTCCGGGGGCGGCCTCAGCTTACTGTTTGGAGGACAGAGGGCGGTGAGGGTGGGGTGTGGGGGCTGGCAACTGGGAGGGGACCACCTTCCAGAACAGACAGGGGTCTGTGATCCCTGAGCAGGGCCTCTCACGCCTTTCTGCATTGACCAGGGACTCGGGCCTCCTGGGCAGGCGAATTCCAAGGGGGTTTGTAAGGGGCTCACCCGGCCTGGCTGGGAGCAGAGACTCCTGAAGCCCTGCACCCTGGACTCCCTTTTACTGGGCAGAGTGGTCTCCCCCAGCCCTGGTTACCCCCATTAGACCTTGAATGACTCTGTTTTGGCAAATGATGCCAAACTTTCATTCTCCAAGGCCTGAATTAATAATAACCGTTACTGTTTATTGAGTGCCTCTTATGGGCTGAGGCTGCCAAGCGCTTACCTGGGTGTGGCTACAGGGATCCCCACAGCTGGCATTTTCTCCTGCTCAATAGACCCTGTCCTGACCCTGCTCCCCTCCAGGCTCCACCCCACTTCTCTCCTCCCCCTGGTGCCCTTGTCCTGGAAGGGTGGTCTGCACGTGAGCTCCTCGCCCTCTCCGCCCCTCTCAAGGGTGCCCAATCAGACTTTCACCCTGAACACTAGCCCCTGCTCCTGGCTGGTCACAGTCATGGGTGGCCTCCGATGGGCAGGTCCGAGGCCTGGTTTTGGGTGGCTTTGAAGAACTGATCACCCCTCCTCAGAACGCTCCTTCCCCTGCTCCCTGGCCCACCCCCACCCTCCACCCCGCTCTGGCCCCCTCCACTGGTCCCTCTGCCTTCCCCGGGCCCTCAGCACCAGGCGCCCAGCCCGGGCCTTGGTCTACTTCTTCCCACCCCCGGCCTTAAAAGCCACCTGGGTATGCTGACAACCCCAAGCCTGTGTCTGCAGTCTGGGCTTCTCCCTGAACTCCAGATTCACGTCCCTGACTGCCGACTGTGTCTCTAGGTGATGTCTGAGGGGCGTCTCAATCTTGGCCTGTCCCCAAATGGATCTGCCCCAGGGGCCACCTGCCCACAGCCTGCCCCACTGCAGTAGCTGGTGACGCCATCCTTCTGGTAGCTCGGGGTGAAGACGTCTGCACGTCCTTGATTCTTTCCCTTCTCTCAGTGCTGCATCCAGTCCAGCAGGTCTTGACAGCTCTCCTGTCACCATTCATCCAGAATTTCAGCACTCGCTACCCTCGTCACTCATTACCTTTCTCCTGGATTGTTCTAGGGGCTTCTCACTGGTCCTGCATTTTCCCCCCTGCTAGCAAGCACCATCCTCTCTCTACACAGAGGCCAGACATCCTCTCAAATGTAATCCCCTCAAAGGCCCACCTCACTCAGCCAAGAGCCAACGCCCCTGCAGTGGCCCTCATGATCTTCCCATGACCCCTGGGACCTCATCTGTACTCACTCCTTGCTCACTCCACTCCAGCCACTCTGGCCCCCTTGCTGGTCCTCCAGTACCCAGGTGTTCTCCAGCCTCAGGGCCTTTGCACTTGCCATTCCCTTGGGGGGGTACCCCCAGGGCTCACTCTCTTACCCTTTCCAGTCTTTGTTCAAACATCTCCTTCTCACAGAAGCCCAAGAGTGCCAGGCACCCGTAGGCACTCCATCGGTCAGTACTCAGTTGATTCTCCTTGACTCAACCTGAGGCTCGTTTACTCCTCAACCCCACGAGGACTTTACATGGCCTCCCTTCTCTCTACCCTCTGCCTCATTTTCCTTCATCACCCTCATCAGTCCCTGATATGTGTGGTTTGCTCATTCTGTCCCCCTCCCCAGTGTCAGCTCTCAGGGAGCAGGGACATTCTCTGCTGGCTCACAGCTGGGTCCCCAGAACTCAGAACAGTGCGTGGAACATCTTAGGTGCTCAAAGGTTATTTGCAGAATGAATGAAGTAGGAGGACAGGGTGTGGAGAGGCAGAGTGCCTGGGTGGAGGTGGGAATTAAACCTCGTCTACCTGCTCTGGGGAAGGCCCGCCCAGCTCCGCCTGCCACCCTGCCCGCGGCAGTGCAGGGCCTGCAGGGTGCACGGCTGCTGCCTGCACTGGCCTCTGCAGCCTGAGAACAGGCAGCTCTGAACTCTCTGGGCCTCCACTTCCTAGCCAGCCTCACCCTGTCCTGGCCAGGATAGGGAGGCCAGGTACCGCCTTGCCCCACCTGCAGGTGGACGGCTACATCTGGACCTGTGCCTGTGGCCCTGGGATCCCTGAACGCTCTGCACTCTAGCCTCCCTCCCTTCCCTGGGATGTAGGCTGGAGTCTAGACTCATGGCCCCTTTGCACTTCCTCTCCTGAGTGCCGGAGCCTGCTCTACACTCTGCCTGTGGCTGAGGTCCTGCCACGAATGGCTGCTCTGACCTTGAGTGCGGCGTGAACTCACTTTGGGGGCTGGTTGGGCCCCCCAACCAAAGACTCTGGTTTCTGTGAGCTGCCCACCCCTGCCCCCAGCCCAGCTCAGTGGGGCCTTGATTTCTGACCTCTCCTGCCTCGCTGTCCTGCTGGCACCAAGCCTGAGCTGAGAGGCTGCTGTCTGATGCAGAGGAAGGCCCTGTGTGGGGACGGGGAGCCTACCAGAGGCTGGAGATGATGTGGATGGTCTGCTGGCGGTTTGGCGTGCACAGCGTGTCCCGGGGCTCCTTCTCCAGCAAAACCTGCAAATCCCCAGGTGAAGACTTCATCATCCGTGCCTGGGCCCATCCCACTTCTGACACCAAGTCACATCCTGCCTAAAGACCTCAGTGCTCAGCACCCCGGGACCCACAGGGTTATGCTCCAGCTCCTCACCCATGCAGGGGCCCCTCTCGGGGGGGTTTCCTGGTCCCCACTCGGAAAACTGGAGCATAGACTTTAGAATCAGAAGATCATGTCTGAATACTGGTTACCACATACTAGCTACATGACCTTGGCAAGTCTCCAAGATGCTCTGAGCTTCATTGATTCATAAATAACATGGCATTGTTGCACGTGTGTGACGTATAAAGCAAGGTGTGCAAAACACGATGTCTGAGGCACAGCAGGGGCTCAGGAAACAGGAATTAGCATTATCATTATTGTTGTTATTATTGTTATTATTACTATTATAATCGTCCATCACTTGTGTGTTTCCTCCACTGCCCGGGGGTGGTGTGAGGCCAGAATGTGGGTAACTGGTGCTCTGAGCTGGGTTGGTGTGAGCAGAACGGATGCTGCTGGACTTTCTGGGCCTCGGCCACACCAGCTGTGAGGTGGACACACCTGGCCAGCTCAGGGTCACTGTGAGAACCAAGAGAAGTGGGGGACACAGATGTGCTTCCAGGTGCAAAAGCCTGTGAGGGGCTTGGACACGCTCTAGAAATCCAACTTCCCCACCCCTTTTCCAGGAGGTGCCTCTCATGAGTGCTGCTGGTGCAGGGGAGGGGCACCCCCTCCATCCCCATGAAGCCCCTTCCTCTGCCCCAGGACCTTGTGCTCACCATCAGACTCTCAAGGAGCTCGGAGATCTGGGAGAACGTGTAGCTGTGGGCGCCCTCGTCACGGCTGATGGCCTCCACCAACATGAGGACGGCGGTGAGGAAGCTCTGCTTCAGGGTCTCGTCCTGGCACGGGGTTGGGCCATGGAACAAGGTGGGTGAGGGCAGGGAGTGAGAGCACCAGAGGGGCAGAGGGAGTGAGAGCCATGGTCACACATGGCGGCAGGGCCACTGCTGAAAGGGCTTCCAGCCGGGGCCCACACCCACGGGGCTTTTCAGGTGTGGGGAGCCCATGCGGTTTGTTTAAAAATGTAAGTTGATGACACTTAGATGTCAAGAGGGTGCAGGTAAGAAGCCCAGCGTCTGGTTTCTCTCGAGGGGTGGGAACCTTGAGCCTGAGGGTCTTGAGTGCGGGGGCCTCAGGGGCCTGCCTGGACCCTCACAGCCGCACGGGGGAAGGCCCCTGGTGCAGAGCACAGCGTCAGGGGACTGTCGTCATGAGGCGTGACGGGAAGTCACCCGGACTTCCAACACCCCAAGGCGAACACCCAGGGTTTATTTAGGGGGAGAGGTGTGGGGGATGGGGTCAGCACGAAAGCCCTCACGGCCTTAGGTGGGGCAGGAAGGAGGCCAGGCCCCGCCCCTTAGGATTCCAGGGTGGAGCGGGAGGTGGGGAGGAGGGCTCCGAGGCCTGGAAGGTCCTGGAACTCTCAGAAGCAGGTTCTGGCGGGCCCCTGGGCTGTGACAGGCTGGGCTCCAGAAGGGCGGCCCGGGCACCGTCCGTGCGTACCAAGGGGCTGTGCTGGAAGTAGTAGACCATGCGCGACAGGATGTTGTCCACCCACGGGAGGATGTGCGCCTTGGCCTTGGCCGCCATCTGGCCGTAGGCAAGGAGGATGGTGCTGCTGGCCCACTTCCACCGAAAGTCCTCTGAATTCTGACCACGGTGGGGTGGGGTGGGGTGGGGCAGATAAGAAACGTCAGGGCCCTGCCGACTCCTCTTCTGGGGGCGCAGTGACAGGAGGTACCCCAGGCCCTAGTGGGGTCCTGGAGGCAGGGTGTTCTGAGGGGTGGCGGGCCTCAGTTTACCTCAGTCGGAAAATAGGGGAAATGGAACTTTCTCTGTGGGATTGGGACAGGCCTTGTGGAGTCACCTGGGGGTGTACGGAGGAGTGCTTGGCTCTGCCATAACTGGCCCCTCACCCTCCCTGCCTGTGGTAGCCCCTCCCCAGGGGCCCAGGGGCCCAGGGGCCATGGCTCCCCTCACCCACCTCAGGCTCCTGGGGGCCTGGGTGAGGAGGGTCGTGCCTCCACCTAGAGAGGCAGTGATGGCATTTGGCGCTTTGGCTCCAGATGAGACCCAGAGAATGAGGGGACATCTGGGACACCCCTGGATGTCACCTGAGCACCATTGTGGCTCATGCCCATCAGTGACAAGGCCCCTTTGAGATTGAGAGGTGGGTCCCAGTCCCTGCTCTGCCACCTGCCGGCCGAGGGACCCTGAGGAGGTGGCTGGCCCTCCCTGGGCTGTCCGTGGTTACCCATGACCGCTCCCTCCCCTGTCTGTCCTAACTGAGCTCCTGCAGTCCCAGGCAGTCTCTGCCGCGGGAGTGATCTGGGTGTGGTGAGGACGGGGTGCGTGTGTCGCCCACCAGCAGGGGCACAAGGTTGACCTCTGGCCCTTGTCTCACGTTTCAAATGAAGCACACGGTCAAAGAGCCGTTAATAAACAGACAGCAGCCACCACAGCCACGGCTCTTGTCAATCCCGACAGGAGGGAGGGAGGAATTATTATTCAAGAGGGGGACACTGGGGCTCAGGGGTCACACCGCAGGTGGGCATAGAGATGGGACCGCAGACCAGGATGCCTGGTCCAAAGTGCATGCCTCCAACTCGCCCCACGAGTCCCACCCAACCTCAGACCTTCTTGGAGGGCAGGGGTCCCGATGTTCCAGCCCCTTGCTGAGGCCCCCAATGACCCCCAAGCCAGCACCTTTGGGGATAAGGAGTGGAGGCTCCACTTGATGGGCTTGCTCCGGCCAAACTGCTCCAGGACGGCCCAGACGTGGTCCAGGTGGCAGACCGCGGCCAGCCCCACAGTGAGAGCGATGCCCTGTGGGGGGCAGGGTCACCCATGTGGGGTCACAGGTCCAGGCCTGGTGCCTCACCTGGGGGATTGGACACTGAGTCCCAGAAAGGGAGGGGACTCGTCTGAGGTCACAGGCATCAGCCTCCCACCCCACCCTCTTTAGGACACGCAACTCGGAGCCCAACCCCGTGAGGCATCTCTTACGGGGTCTGGTGGGTGGGTGGGGGAGGCAAGAGGAAGAGGTGACTCTCTGGAGGCCTGTTGCCCATGCCCCCACCAGCTCTGAGTGGACCTGTGCTAGAGGGAGGAATGAGGGTCCAGGAAATATGTGTATGACAAAGGAAGAGGATAAGCTGTGATGGGTCAGGGCTCAGCGTGTGACTAGGGTCAGGGCTCAGCGTGTAACCAAGGTCAGGGCTCAGTGTGTGACCAGGCTCAGGGATCCCAGTGTGACCAGGGTCAGGGCTCAGTGTGTGACCAGGATCAGGGCTCAGAGTGGGACCGGGCTTAGGGCTCAGTGTGCGACCAGGGTCAGGGCTCAGCGTGCGACCAGGGTCAGGGCTCAGCGTGTGACCAGGGTCAGGGCTCAGCGTGTGACCAGGCTCAGGGCTCCGAGTGTGGCCAGGGTCAGGGTCAGGGTCAGGGCATTACAAGGAGGAAGGCTCAGTCTGACCAGGCTTGTACAACTAGGGTCAGGCAGCCGTGGAATGGGGTGCGGCTGTGTCCTCACCTCCCTCTGCTTGGGCCACTGATGAGATGTTTCCAGGAGGGTCAGCAGGTGTTTCCTGACGGTGGTGCTGTTCTCCTCAGCTTGAAGGATCCGCCCGTAGTAGGAGAACAGGAAGGCCTGGGGGTGGGTTCAACTTCCTGTCCTGGGCCTGGCCCACTTCTGTCCATCCCTGTCCCCTGATGGCCTGCTGCCTCCCCTGACCAGGCTCCCTCGGCCTCCCTGGGCTCCTGTCGCTGCCCTCACCACCCTGCTCTGGGACCGTGTGAGCCCCAGCCTCGTGGTGGAGCTTCAAGGGTGCGGCTTCAAGTCCCCGTGCCCAGGCCCCGTCCCTCTGTTTCCTTCAGGTCCACCAGTTCCTTCCTAGGGCCCCGGGCCTCCTTTAGGTGTGCATCCTGCCATCAGAGCCCTGGGCCTGCTCAGGGGGCAGCAGGGGCTGCTTGGGGGGTAGGCGGGGTGTGGCCCACCTTCTCTGGGGGCTGCTCCTGCTGTGTCCAGTTGGGCTTGGTGAGCGCACACAACAGGTCCTTGGACCACACGTCCATGTTCAGGAACGGGACCGACTTGACAGCCATCTGTGAGCGGATGGTGGTGGGTAGGGCTGGAGTGGTCTCTCCCTCCACGCTGGGAGCCGGGGCCTAGGCCTCCACCAGCCCTGGCACCCTCCAGCCACTCGGAGCCCTGACTCCATCCTCCTCTTGCCCCCTTCCCTCTTCTGAGGCTCCAGGGTCAGCTCCCTGATTTGTTTGGTAGCCCTCATGGATGAGGAACTCATTCCTCGAGATGCTCTCTCTGGATATGTTCAAGGGGAGGCTGGGAACGGGGAGCCTGACCGTGTCCTTAGCACTAGGCAGGGGCTCGGACATCACAGATGCTTGGTGAGTGTCAGCTGAAGGCGGCCCCACCAGGTGGCGTACCCGGAGGGCCAGGTTTGCCTCACCTGTTCATGGCTGTCTCCCTGGCACCTAGAACAGCACCCACACGACGTCAATGCTCCGTTAACATTTTTTTGAATGAATGAATGAATAAATGAGACATCAAATAAATGAATTACATGTCCCTTCGAAATATAAAGTCCTAATATCACACAATTTTATGATGATGACTGCAAGGCTCTCTCTTTCCAGTGTTCCCAGATTCCACGATTCAGCAATTCCAAGATTTTTGATCCCAAGATTCCTTGAGGTGGAGATACCCCTCCCAAATACGATCCCAAACCCAAAAACCTTAAAAAAAAGAAAGATTGATAAATGTGAAGATAAAAATTTCAAGTAGTGTGTTCAGCAAAACCACCATCAGTTAAGTTGAAAGACGCAGTAAAGTTTTGTTTTGCTGGGACCTATTGCCAAGGGTTAGTACCACTCATGAAGAGCACTTTATAAACCAAGAAGGAAAAGACAGAGGGTCCACTTTAAACTGGTGAGTCACGTGTTTGACTTTGTAAGACAATGGCAGTTTTCCGCGGCGGCCGCCCCATTTCACCATCCCACCAGCAGGCAGCGAGCTTCCCGAGGCTCCACGTGCTCGTCAGTGTCTGCTGGTGTCATTCTTCCTCACTCCAGCTTTCTCCATGGGTGCGTAGTGGCAGCTCATTGTGGTGCTTTCAACTGACATTTCCCTGAGGATTCAAGGTGTTGATCATTGTTTTATCGGCTTGTCGGCCACTCATATGCCTTCCTTTGCGAAGTGTGTATTTAAATCTTTTGCTCACTTTTTTAGTTGAGCTCTTTGTCTTCTTCTTACTAACTTGTAAGAGCTTGTCATTTATTCTGGATACAATCCCTTGTCAGATGTGCGTCTGGCGAATATTTTCTCTGTGTCTGTGGCTTGCCTTTTCACTTTCATAAGGGTATTGTTTGATGAGCAGACAGTTTAATTTTGATGAAATCCAATTTATGCATTCTTTTCTTTTCATGATGAGTGCTTTCTGGGTTCTAGGAAATATTTACCTTCCTCAAGGTTGGCAAGATTTTCTCCTGTGTTTTCTTCTAGAAGCTTTGCAGTTTTAGCTTCTATGTTTAGATCTTGGTTCATCTCAAATTAATTTTTGTGACTGGTTTGAGGTAGGCATTGATGGAATAAATGAAAAGCAATAAGGAAAGTTAATATTATTGAGGTATATGAGGAAGCCATTTTGGTTTAAAACTGATTCGGCCTGACCTTGTTTTTCTGCAATGGCCTGACGTGGCCTGTCAAGCGTGCATTGTACATCTTCTTTAAACATTTACAGTAACCCAAACCAAAGAATGCTGCCTTTAAATATAGGGATGAACACCTGCCTCCCATCTCAGCATTTCTTTCAAGATGAACATTCCTTCCCAGAAACCTGGCTCAGATTGATCTGCTGTATGTAGAAAAACATCTTGTGATTGTGGTAAAAAGAAAAAAAGGTATTCCTGTCATATTTGATATACGTTGCTTGTTCCAGAATGGTCTAAAACCACGCTGTACAGCTCGCTTCTCCGGACTGCTTCCTTCCCTGGTGGAGTTTGCTCCCCCCGGCTACAGTCCTGAGAATTGGCTCATATATTAAACTCACCTCATTTTTGATCTATAGATTGACTATCAGTTATTTGTGTCGACAGCATTAACATTCATTTGTTTCCCTTATAGGTATGCAATTATTCCAGAACGGTCTGTTCAAAAGACTGTCCTTTCCCCATTGAATTGCTTTGACATTTTTGTAAAATAAATAAATAAATAAATAAATAAATAAACTGACCATATAATTGTGGTTTTATATGTGAGTTTCTATTCTGTTCCCATTGATTTATTTGTTTAATCTGTGTCACTTCCTTACTGTCTTTTTGACTATAACTGTATAATAAATCTTGAAACCAGGTAGTGTAATTCTTGCAACTTTGTTCTTCTTCAAGATTGTTTTGGTTATTCTAGGTCCTTTGAAATTTCCATATGAAATTTTAACTTATAGATTATATTCAATTCTATAATAAAGCATGCTGGGATTTTGATTGACATTGTATGAATCTATAAATCAATTTTGGGTGAATTGACACCTTAACATTATTGAATCTTCTTATCTGTGAACATTACATGTCTCTATTTGTTTAAGTTTTCTTTAATTTCTTTTTGCAATGATTTGTAAAGATTTGGCATATATTTTGTTAAATTTGTCTTTAACTCTTTTATGTTTTTAATACTGCTGTATCATTGTTTTAAAAAAACTTTTCAATTGTTTGTTGCTAGTATATAGAAATTCAATTGACTTTTGTATATTGATCTTGCTAATGTGGGGGATCAGAATTGGCCACCTCAAAATATGTCTCTTTACCTTGATTATTTTCAAGAACAAAAGACTCTGAAAGAAACTTTGACCTCCCCGCTAACTGCCTAAAAGAAATTTAAGATAGAAGGCCTGTCCCCAGGACAGGCCATCACCATAGATAACTTTGGGTATCAATAGACTGGGAGGGTAAGCTAAGCCCATTCTTATCAAAGCTCTGAAAACTAAGTAAAAGTAGAAGGTACCTTTTGTAAGCAACATTTACATTTGTAAAGGAAATCTCCATTTGTAAAGGTATCTCCTTCTCTGTATCAGGAAGAAGGGGGGATGACCTTATCTTCAGAAACTCTTATCAACGTGGAAGGCAAGGACTTAAATCTGAATAGTAACCTTACTCTTGTTTACTGTGCTTTTCTGGTAATCTCCCATAACTGACTTCTCCCACCCCCAACATCCTCCTTTGTCTTTAGCTGAAGATGGTATTTAAGATGAGAGCCTCTGCCATTTTGTTGAGTTATCCACTTTTTCCTGGGTCTGTCCCATGTATACATATCATAAAGCTTTGTTAGATTTTCTCCTGTTATTCTGTCTCATGTCAGTTTAATTCGTCCCAGCCAGAAGGACCCAGAGTGGGTAGAGGCTATGTCTTCCTTCCCTACACTAAATTCAGTTATTAGTAATTAATAGTTCTAGTATTTTTTTAAGTTTCTGTTAGATTTTCTAAGTATGCAATCATGTCTGCAAAGAAAGACAGTTTTACTTTTTCCATTGCAATCTGTATGTCTTTTTTCCCCTTTATCTAAACTTATTATTATTCTTACCTGGTAAGGACCTCAGTGCAATCTTGACCAAAAGTGGAGAGAGTGGACATTTTGGCCTATTTCTGATCTTAATGGGAATGTGTTCAGTTGTTCATCATTAGGTATGTAAGTTGTATATTTTTCATAGATATCAGTTTCCTGTTACTCCTATTTTGTTGACAGCCTTTATCATTGTGATGTGTGATTTATAATAAGGAATATATATTTGGTCATCATCCCTGTTCCTGGCACAGAGCTCCTAAAACCCTTGGAATTTCCTAAGTGATTAGAGCAATAAAGATGTCTTTTGTTATTCACACCAAGCTCCTTTCAACCACAGCTTAGTTTATGGTAATGAGGTGACTTTTGAAAAGCCCTTAAAAGCTGGATGGGGGCTGGTTGCCAGGAGAACCAAACGTGTGATTACAGGGTTGGGACTTTCAGTCCCCTCCCCCTAACCTCCAGTGAGGGGAGAGGGGTTGGAAATTGAGCTCAATCACCAATGGTCAACAATTTCATCAATCATGCCTAGGTAATGAAGCCTCCATAAAAACCAAAAGGATGGGGTTTGGAGAGCTTCTGGGTTGGTGATCATGTGAGGGAGAGTGGTGTGTCTGGAGAGGGCAAGGAAGCTCTGCGCCCCTTGCTCACACCTTGGCCTATGCATCTTTTCCATCTGGCTGTTCCTGAGTTATATCATTATCAAATAAACTGGTAATCTAGTGTAGGGGAGGAAGGCAAATCCTCTACCCTCTGGGTCCTTCTGGCTGGGGTACGAATTAAATTGACATGAGACAGAATAACAGGAGAAAATCAAACAAAGCTTTATAACATGCATACATGGGAGAGACCCAGGAAAAACTGGGTAACTCAACAAAATGGTGGAGGCTCTCATCTTAAATACCATCTTCAGCTAAAGACAAAGGAGGGTCTTAGGGGTGGGGGGGTCAGTTGTGGGAGATTACCAGAAAAGCACAGTAAACAAGAGTAAGGTTATTATGCAGATTTAAGTCCTTGCCTTCTGGACTGATAACAGTTTCTAGAGGTAAGGTCATCCCCCCTTCTTCCTGGTACGGAGAGGGAGATACCTTTACAGATGGAGATTTCCCCTACAAATGTAAATATCCCTTACAAAGGATAAATTTTACTTTTCAGAGCTTCTTGCATGTCTGCAATTTTTAAAAGTAATACTCCTCATAAGCCCAAAATAATCCTCATGCCAAAGAAACACATTTTGGGGTGGCCAATTCTGATCCTCCACACTAGTCAGTAAACTGTTTTCCTGAGTTCTGTGAGCCCCTCTGACAAATTAATTGAACCCAAGGTGGGGGTCACGGGAACCTCCCATGTATAGCTTGTGGGTCAGAAGCACGAGTGACAACCTGAACTTGCAATTGGCATCTGAATTGGGGGTGCAGTCTTGTGGGACTGAGCCCTCACCCTGTGGGGTCTGACACTATCTCCAGGTAGATAGTGTCAGAATTGAGTTAAGCTGCAGGACACCCACTCAGCATCTGCTGAGAACTGGAGA